CGGAGAAGCTCGAGGCTTCGTCGGAGAGTGAGATGAGCTCGAGGTTGGTCGGAGATGGAGATGAGATCGAGGTTGGTCGGAGATGGAGAAGATCGAGGCTGGAAGGAGATGAAGATTGAAGAGGAGATCTGCGTCAAATGGAGTTGCGGCTGCGTCTATCAGGGTTAGGTTTGTTTGTAAATACTAAATAACGTTAAGGGCAAAAACGTAAATTACCTTTCTAGCCGCATCATTTGCATCACAGACGCTAGATTTTTCGGCGTCAAACGCAGAGGATGGCGTCAACCGCGGCGTCTAGACGCAGGAGATGGCGTCAAACAAACGAACAAAAAAATTTAAAAAGATAGCCGCAGCCGCAGCCGCAGGTAGCTGCGGCTGCCAAACGAACAGCCCTTATGTCTACATTGTTAATCTTTTCTCCAACTTTTTTCTATTAGAATTGGATACTTTCTTACAATACAGCACACATACAATTTATAGTAAGCTTCTCTACTTGCTACACTTACATATTGCTTACACAACTTCTTCACCCAAAAAGACCTGACTATTCTTACAAGCAACTTATCTTTGACATTGACAACTCTTAACGATTTTATCGTAAGATCCGTACCAACTTAACCTAGTTAGATTTAAACCAAACTAACACTAATCCCTTATATATTAATCCTGAAGCATTCATAATTGCACAACCTTGGAGAGCATGCTTACGTGTCAAGCTCACAGAGCTTCTCAGCCTTAATTTTTTAATGGACCAACTTTGCTAGGAATGAAATAATGTAACATTAATTTTTTTGCATTTAGGACTATAATATATAAGGGATTTTGTAAGGGACTAACTCTGCTAGGTATAAATCAATATATTTTATTTCCTTAAATAAAAGCTACGAAATTACCTAATATGATTATCATATATATGTAATTAATGATTATGAATAATACATATTTTTGTGTCCTCTCTCTTTTTTTGTTTAATTTTAAATTATTAAAATAAATTAAACAATCACATTAAATATATAATAAAAAAATTAAATTTTTTCTTATAGGTTATATTTTTAATTTTTAAAACGACCATAAATAACTAAAAATAGTAAAATCCCTCATTGAAAATTTTATGATCAATGGTTTAACTTTGTTTTTTTTCCAAACAAGATACAAATTATCATAAATCGTATGAATATGAAGTATCATTAGTAGATATTCATATTATAAATATGTTAATTTAAAAATTTCAGTGAAAAGGTTTGAGGTTAGTAGATACAACTTATAGTATTCAAAAGATTTTTGTAGTTTATTTTATTTGTTTTTTTTAATATCTTTTAGTTTGTTTAGATAGCTTAACTAATTTTAAATTAGATTTATTAATAGTTTAAATATTTTGATTTTTTTGTCAACTTTTCATGTTTAAAAAATATATTTTGGGATAATTTCATATATTGGTTACAATCCAATCCAAACTGAATTGAAAAGATCAAATCAAATCCAATCCGATAATTAGTAAAATTCAAATAGGATTTATGAGAATAATACCAAAATCTGAAAATATGTCTCAATCAAACCAAAACCGACGAAGTCTCAAACGTCCAGACCTATGATGATTTAAGATACCAACATTTGTATTCATCATTTTATAATCGATAAATACTGTAGTATTGCAAAATGTTAAAAACCATTTAGTAGATAAATATTAGTATAAAAATTTCACCCCGCGCATGCGCGCGGGTTATCATCTAGTTGTTCTTATTCTTCTTACTGTGCAACTTCTGGTTACACAAACCAACCTTGTCCGTGACTTCTTGTTGTCGTTGCTTTTCTCCTTCTTGTCCCTATTTCTTGCGTTCCAAGTTTCCTTCTTCTTGTTTTGCACTTCTTCTTTGTTCTTTATAGGATTTAATCAAAGGTTCATTCTCAACAATTATCCGTGTGTTTTACAAAAAGAAAAAAACAATTATCCGTGTAGTTTATTTTTTCTTGTTTAATGCACCTACATCTCTCATATTCAGAATTGCGAATACCTCTACACTGGCATATTATTCACATAAATATTTAAATATTGATGTCACAGATTTTTTTTTAATTTTGATATACTTTGAAATCAACATGCGTCTTCTTATAATAGTTCGTAGTACTGTCCAACTAAAAAGAGGCAACAGAAGTTATAACACCGTAATATGTGACATGCTTTAATATACATTACAAAGTAAATATCACAGAGAGGGACTACGGTTTAATTTATAAGCTGCAGCAACAGACTCAGCAACTCCTCCAGGAATAACATGGTTATATGGAGAATGATTGAGCTCAGCCTGAACAACTGCTTCTGCGTCTTCACTTGTCACTGATTTGTCTCTCGTTACCTTCACATCTATCTCAGCGACAATGTCCCCGAGATGAATCTTCTTGTCATCTTCTTTACCTACTTTTTTGTTACGAACAACAGCCTCACTTGCCACGGCGGTCACACTATCGCCGGTTTCAATATCATCTCCGGTAGCTCTAGCTTCCACCTCTTTTATGGCAGCTAAGTCTGTGGTTTCCACCGGCTTGTGGCCCACGTTAATGGCTGCTGCTTTGAGAGCCTCCGTTAAAGTCGCCGACCTCCCGATAAGCGCCTCAGCCGCCGTGGATATTTCTTCTGTGGGTCCTACAAACTGTTTCAAAAAGATTTGCATATCATTAGATATGAATATGGTCGCAGTTATTTTAGATACGTAACGTTTGTAAAAGGGTAACCATGAAATGAATAAATAAAAACGGTTTAAGATAGGGTGTAATATATTTATTACCTGTCCACCGGAACTAGACTGAGAGACGCTAAAGTGTTCCTCTACGGAAATGTTGGTGAAACTACTAGCACCGTCATTTGATGCAGTCATCTTTAAGAGTTATTCGATCTTTTTGATCTTCCTTTTTTTTTATTTGCTCAACTTCGATCTTTATTTATCCTTCTTCTGTAGTTTAAATAGAACCGGTTCCGTTACGTTATACCTCAACCCCCACCTGATGGAACTACGTTTGACACGTCACTTATAACAGTCCACGTGTTCACATTTAGTTGTTTGTGAGACAGTGACCCATTGATGCACTGGTGAGGTGAGAGAGCAAGGCGGATGATACTTTTCGGTCTCATTGAAACGACATTGGATCAGATCATCACCAGACCCAAACAATTAATAAACTGGAGAGACGTGTCATGCGCTTGCGAAGTTTTAAAACTTGATACGTGTAGGTTCGAACGTTTTTTAACCAAAACGGAGAACGAAAAAAAGCTATCAGACTAAACCAAAGATTTACTATATATCCGACTAACTCATATTTGTTTACATCAACCGGACTAAATAAATATTCAAAATAGTACGAACTAAAAATCAAATAAATAAATATTTAGTTATCTGAAATATCGTTTATGTACTTAACCATATTAAATTTTAAAAACTAAAATGTAATTAATAAACTCAGTCGTAATGAACCATGCAGAGGTGAGCTATAGTGGTTTTCAGTTGAGTTAAACGCAGTAATTTGGCTAAAATGTTTTTTGGTTTGACTCGTCCCTAAACTTTGCGTAGCCACGAAAGTGCTCTACACCACTTTAAAATATCAGCAAAGACTGACTCCAGATCATGCGTGACTTTGGATCCTATGGATTATAGAACTTCTCTATTAGAAAGAAAAGTCGATGGTAATGAATCTATATATTTGGTCCAAAATATATATAATTATTTAATATCTTATTTGAATTATCTGAATTACTACAAATACTTCTAAGTTATTTTTTTTTTTAATATTCTCTTCTAACACTGAAAAAAAATTATCCAAACCAGAATACTCAGTAAAAAAAAAAAAGTAAAATACTGAAAACCCCCAAAATTGTCCTAAACACGTGCATAGTCCGTGGCTGAATACCGTTTAAGAATATCCGGGTCGGGTGGGGCTCAGACCCGTTTCCGAAATCAAAATTCCCCCGGAGCGCTAATCTCAATTCCACAATTAAAAAAAAAAGTGGGAAGCTATTTCCCAAAGAAGAAAGGGAAAGCAAAGCAATTCCTTCTTTTATATTTCTCTTTTTTCGGTTAATCCATGAAATATGGAGATTGAAGAGATCGAAGCCGTTCTCGAGAAAATCTGGGATCTTCACGACAAACTCAGCGACGAGATTCACTCTATTTCCCGCTCTCACTTCCTCAATTCCGTTAAAAAACCACCTAATAATAATAGATCGCAGAAGAAGAAGAGCCATGGCGGACAGGGTTACGTATTCATCAAAGGATTCGATAACGACGACGCAACGATTCAAGAAGCGAAGAACCTGTACGCGATTCGAACCGCTCTTGAGCACCTCGAAGACCAGCTTGAGTTTCTCCATGTGAGCCTCGATTTGGATTCTTATTAGATTATCTTGAATATTGAGCGGAATCGAGAATAGCTTAGCGTTTTAGGTGATTTATTGTGTTTCTTCTTGATTTGCTGCGTATTGTGAGGATTGTTGCGTTTTGTAGACTATGTAAGATGATCATCATACGATTCGTTCCTGAGCATTTGTTGATTCACACTCCTTTTGTTCCATGGATTCATAGCTTTATTTGATGTGGGGTGGAAGTTGGTGAGGAACAAGTAGGAGATGTGAAAAGTTTGAAAATCCATTGAAGTTGGTGACAGTTTTTGTTACTTAGCTGTTTTCTCAAGAGAGGTAGAATAAAAGCAAATCCTTGTGATAAAGTGAATAGTTAATCCTTGTTGTTTGTTTGAAGAAGAAGCTTATTGTTAGCAGACTATCAGTCGAATTTGAATACGTCTGATAATTCATTATCTACTGATACTAGTTTAGCTTCTGAACAGGATAGTAAACTTCTGAGGAGCAGTAATTGGCTTGGAACTCTCCTGCTTTATAATAACAATGGCTTTTTTCTATAACAAGTTGCATTTTCCTTCTTTTAGACTATGTAGTAAGATCCATCATACCTTTCCATTCTGAGCATTGTTTATTCACACTCGTTTGTACGTAGATTCAAAGCTTTATTTGATGTGGGAAGGTGGTGAATTAAGGTTGTATATGCATTACATATTCTAAAAATCTTATGTAAGATCAGAACATGTAGAGATGTCAAAGTGTATGAGAGTTTTTTTTTTGCATATATATATGATTCTCTTTGCCACTCATAGTGTTTCTGGTCAGTTCGGTTATTTCCAGTTTTTTATCACCTGATCCTCATATCTGAAAGACCACACGTAAAACTTTATTTTCTCTTTTACTATGCAGACTATACACACACAGCAACGAACAGAGAGAGATTTAGCTGTTACCCGTCTTGAACAAAGCAGGATATTACTTGCAATGAGATTGACTCAACACCACGGCAAGAGCTACCGTGTCTTAGAGGAAGCTCTTGCTTTTGTTGGCAGCATTAAAAGCGACACTCATTTCGTTTCGCCTGATCAACTTTACAACTCCTCTCTAAACCCAACGGGAGAAGACTCTACTCCTTGTGATGGTAATAAGCCGAACTTTGTAATCAACGCCTTTGCATCGGCTTTGGGGTTTGCCAAAAGAGCATTTGGGTTCAACCATGTCAGAGGCGTACTTGGAAACACTGCTATATTCTCCATAAGCATGGTCGCTATGCTGCATCTTCACCAGGTGGCTACCAGTGAACATCATCATCTACAGAAGAAAGAATACAGAAGAGAGGTGTCTTCATCTGCCATAAGCTTGAACCACTTGGACGTGATGATGGCTCGTGGTTAAAAGACTATAGATCGAATTTGTCTACACGTGATGAACTAAGAAGAGAAGAAATAGTTGTTTGCTCTCATATGATGTTCTGGGTTTGGACAGAAACAACAAAAAATGTATTTAGTTTGCGTCTTGCGTATTTGATTTGTTGTTCAAGTGTTAAGCTTTTTGTAGTCACAAGCTTTGCATATGGTCGACCAAAAATTCTTGGGTCGCATTGTGTGTTTCTTTTCTGGAGAGGCAAATTCTCTTGTGAAGTATTCCAACTGTTAGGCCACTATTACCCATCTTGTACTCCAAAACCCTCCAGCCTAGTTTGTTCTTCTTATGCCCATTTACTTTGATGCATCACTCCATTTATCGTAATACTCAAGTTTAAGACTAAATACATAATATAGAAAATTATATTTTTAATCTTATTCCATTTTTTCAGTTCAAACTCTATCTTAGAATAAAATTTTATTTAATTATATTTCATTTCTAACTCCAGTAGAGAATAATTATATTCGTCAATTCTTTTTTTTATTCTTCACTCTATTTTTATACTGTAAGTTCAAGTACATTTAATATAAACATCTTCTGAATTATTCAGTTTTATATAAAAATAGAATAATACATTGGAAATATTCTTAGTAAATCTCAACGTTCTATAGTCAAGTACATTTATTATAAACACCTCAATTTTTGAATTATTCAGTTTCATATAAAAATAGAATAATACATTGAAAATATTCTTAGTAAATCTCAACTTTTCATATATAGTCGAGTGGAAAAATATATTGATTTCTTAGTGTATTACGTATATTCTGAAATTAGTAGATTTTACAGTGTCTAAAATATACAATGGTTATATAATTTGTAATCTTAAGAATAATTACGGTGGTTTTATTTTGTTTGGTTATTTGTATTTGAATTGTGATGTGAACAAAGCAAAGATAAGCGGGACTTTTTTTTCTCTGTTATGGGAACAGACTTTTTTTTTTTTTTTGTAAAATGTGAATATAACAGACTTGGTATGATGAAGGAAGCTTTAATGTGAATATAATATAGCAAAACTCCTTTTCTTAATATCTGCTTTGTCTCTCATATTTACAATTTTTCTTTTGTTTACATAACTTTATCTCTGGACTCTTTAACGTGATAAATGTCATCTTGCTTTTCATTCTATGTTTGCGTGCTGCCAATTTCTTTTCATTTGTGAACATGTTTTTCAATGTGTTTAGACAAATACATAATACCTTATGAGACTATGCAAATATTGTCTTGGCACCTTTGTAGGTCCCGGCCCGCATTATGGGAAATGTCACCTTTGTTTTTGGTCTAAAGTTGAGATCGAAAACAAATACTTTTTCACACTATTGTGATAGTATTAAATACTAACAAATAGTAGACGATAATATATATCTAGATTATAGATTGTCTAAATTTATACAAATAAAAAAATTAATCTAGTTAGTAAAATTGAGAAACACAGAATTTTATCATAAGAATTGCATAATAATATAATGAAGTTACTTATTCAGTATTGTAATTGATAAAGAAAATAAATCACGTTGTCGTTTGTCAATTTGTCACTTCGCGAATAAGAAGTAATGTGTGAATTTGGTGACTTTCGTTCTAACAAGTGAAAATTATATTTAGTCAGACAACAAATAGTAATGATAACCAAAGTCATACATGTAATCACACAACATAATCATTATACTGTCTTAATAATCATACTTTTTTTGAATTGGTCTTAATCATATTTAATCCTTATGTAATTAACTCTTCCAAGAAGATAAGAAAAATGATCGCTCGTGATAGCTCATAAAATTGGATAAACTAATAATTATGAAATAGCTAAGTTGCTTCATAATGAAACGACAAAGCTGATGTAACGGGCAGAAAGTGTTTTTCAACTTCTAATTAATTATAACAGATGGGTCACATTTTTTTTTTTTGAACAACACAGATGGGTCACATAATAACATGTTCTTTCATATCATTCTTACATTTTTACCTTTCTGGGTAAGAATAACAGATTAACAGAGTAAATCTTGACCCATACAAACTATTGATTACCCTAGGGGTTAAAGTCAATAATACAGTTATTTGTCATTGTCAATAATACAGTTTACCTTCTCTAGATCCAACTCTCAGGGAACATGAATTACATGCTCGATCGGTTACGAATAGTATCTGTTTTGTGTCCATCTCTAATATAAACAGTGTAAGAATACACAGTATTTAGATCCATACCAAATAGAATATGGTACGGTGGACCGTAGATACATATATGCTTAATATCTTGGAATTTGGTTTATATCAACATCAATCATAGATTCAATTCTCCTTAAAAATTCAATTATCATTATTTGACCAGTTTGGGTTTGGATTCAGTCCACATGGTAATCGTAACCGATGAACGTTTCATCATCTGATATTAATTGGAAGGTATTCCAAACTCAGGTAATATGATAACCAGTCCACTCTATAGCATTAAGTGCACTCCTCCCGGGGCTGACCGGATCAGTCGATATAATTATTTATTAAAAAAAAAATATATATATATATATATATATATATATATATATATATAAAGTTACTGTATTTAATATGAGTATAGTGGCCAACTATACTTGAAATCATAGTGGGAAAAAAATCAGACTAGTTTTTCAATTCACACAATGAATATTTAACTATTCGATTATACTATAAATTGGTAAAGCATATCAGAAATATTCATCTAGTAACATTTTTCTGACTATAACGAGATTTAGTTTCATTCCATGACTATCAAATATATTATGCAAGCTATTGTTTTCTTCATATATTGTCAAATATGTTTACCCCATGCAACGTTTAACTCCAACCTCTTTATCTCTTGATTTCGCAATTTTCATTTGACAAAGATGTTGCACATGCAACATTTCCCTCTTGTGCAACATGTTGCACATGCAAAATTTCCCTCTTAGAATTAGTTCAAAAAAAAAAAAAACATTTCCCTCTTTATCTAGAAAAGTATGTTTTCCACAAATTGATATAACATATACACATCAGAAACTTAATTATATGAGTTTATAAAATTCAGAGAAATTGTAATTAGAGATCATATATAGTTGTTTCTATACTTATACAAAACCATTTAGAATAACGAATCAGTAGATCCCTTTTATGCATTGGACAGCTATAGTTTGTTCCCATACATCCACTAACAAAAGCCATCAAAAGATTTTTTTTCTTTTCTTTTACGTTTTAGACAAAACAAAAAGCTTCACGTCTTTTACGTTTTGCAAACCTAAGGACTGAGGCGGATGGTAAGAAATGCATGTGTGTGCAGTACAAACTGCAGGGCCCATAATCATATCACGTGACTTTGTGTGCTCTCTTTGTCTCTCAGCATTCTTTTTGAACGAAAGAGTTGGAAATACATAAAACAAATATGTAGTTTTATCTAGCAAAATCACTATAGTATATAATTTCATTGTCTTTAAAATATATACAAATTTTGGTACGTAAACCTAATTTTTTAATTCTTATGTGGCCACCCTTCTTGGTTGTTTGAGCTCTTTGTAAATGAAAGCCGATCCCTCTAATTGAATCATGGAGGATTTTGGAGTCTACCTTGATGGATCATAGAGGTCGTGAGGATTTTCAGTTTGTGGGGAAGAAACTTTAGTAGTTAGCCCCTGTTTTTTTTGGTATACTCTGTTCTTGGTTGTGGTTCAGAGAGAATGTTGGTTGTAGTGTTGTTCTGCTCTTGTGGCAAAGAAATATAATCAAACAAAACTTGACGGAAAAAAACCTAATTTGTAATGAACATTTAACTCGTGGGCAGCATCGAGGAGAAGTTTTAGACAGGTTTATGATGCAAGGTTGTAGACAAAAGTAGTTGATAGCCAAATACATGTGTGTGTAATTTGGGAAAAAACTTAATGTGGCTTCGGTCCCATTGAAAACAGCATAGTATTTCGTTTCAAAACTTTCTATTTCAGCATAAAAGGTCCCTCTTTCAAATGTCGACGACAACCACCTCGAAATCAAAATTTAAAACTAGAGACATCGTGTGATTACTTACTGAATCAGAAGCCGTGATTTGCTGCAGGGTAACAAAACCCACGGCTTCAGAGCATTTCACGTGGCACTACAGCATTCGCACTAGCTGCTTTGATTAGTCAACGTTATTTTCCTTTGTATAGTGTTGTGTAGTGTGATAATACTATTTAGATTTTTTTCTTTAGTTTTTAAAAATTAGTATTTACAACTTGAATACATATTTTACCGACAAAAAGGTAAATGAGAAAATAAGGTATTACTGTACAAAAGATATACAAATCTCAGTAAGGTAAAACAAATTTCAGAAGAAAGATCTTGAAATACAGAAAAAGTAGATACTAAGTTATATATGATAAAAGAAGAGAATAGACAGGGGACCTTCTTCAAACCCAAAATAGTTCGTAAAACAACTGAAATGAATTATGAAATGCGGCTACAATCTACCCACTTGCGGGAAAACGAAAAGGAAGCATAGGCTTATATTATTGTGAATTTTTTAATTGCAATATCTGCCAAAAGAAACAAATAAATACAGTAAACTGCATTGCGTGTGTACAGCCTATATAGACATATAGTCATTGTAGCCTGCTATGTTCGTTATAACCAATTAAATCGTTGGGATTTCTTTTATTTTTGTTAGAAGTTTTTTAATATTGACGGTTGAGAGAACAGAAAAAAAAATGGACATGTAAACTCATGTGGGAAGTTGCAATTTTTGTCGTTGGACGTAAATTAGTGTGATTTCCCATGCACATGAAGACTAAGTTGCAGCTCAACTCAACTGGGATAGAAGCAAAACAACATTTTAGCAGATAAGTATGTATTATGTCCTAGATTAGGTTAGTTCGGTTTATGAAGAAGTTTCTTTAAGTTCAAGCAAAACTAACTGTTGGATTTATATTCATGAGCATTTACGGTCATTGGAAATATTCTTATAGTACACTGTAATTTTTCCTTTTACTGATTTAGTTTATAGTTTCTTATAACGTTTGTCCCTTAAATCCAAAAAAGTTTTTTATTTCAATAATTTATACTCATTTACATAAAGTTTTTTGGATTTTGTATGGAACTTTAGTGTGACAAAAAATGACAAAATGTGACCTTTGGAGGGTTGTATGAGCGGCGTATACCCAAGAGGACCAGCTCACTTGATGGCAGTACCGGCCCTGAGGGGAAGCATTACAAGCAACCGCTTCCGGCCCTCAAAAAATATTTGAAAAATTCAGCCTTTTGTATAAGAAAATTATTATTATAGTATATAAACGTTCTTATAAAAATGGCCAATTTTTTGAAAATTGCTTCTGGTCTTTCCCATGTCAGGACCGGTACTGCTTGATGGTTCGCGTTTGTGAATCTATAAATGTGTCCTTTAATCTTGTAAATCAATCACAAATTGTAATAGATAAACACTGATTCTGATATTCAAAAAATTAAATAAGAAAAGCTAAACGGCATGTACGATGGGTGTTCTACATTTTTACTTGGCAGTCATGCCAAACAATATATTCAAAATATTAGGTTTCACATCTCAAAAACGTTGATTACCAAAAAAAACTCAAAAAGTTATGTTTGACGTCAAACAAGTAAACAACTACCAATATAATTAGTGAAAGATTTTCTAGTCATATTTCGTATACTTAAAGTGGGCTACCGTCATAATTATGAAAATATCTTTTAATAGTGTGTTAACCATACTTCTTCGAATGTGTACTACCGTATTTAAATACTTATACAGCAAATCAAGCACTCTCCAAATCAATTAATGAGCTACCTACGTTTTGTAAATACATTACAATGTGAAGTGATTGTAAGTTCGTTAAATTTATTGTTTTTCTTATTACTCTAAAATGTAGTATGTTTTATATTTTGTCAGGTTGAAATGTCAATTGGTTTTTATACAAAAGCTTACAAAGTGGGTCAATGAGGTAGGGGTCTAGGTGTTGTTACCCATCATACCAACAAATGAACAAATATGTTCGATAAAGTATTTGACCAATATCTGTTTATTTGCCAATCTCTGTACACTAACAAGTATTGGTTACGTTTCTGATCTTTTTAAATACATTTAAAAGCTTTTTACAAGAAATCTGCAAGAAGACCAAAATACCCTTCGAGAGATGAGTGAGTATCCTATGAGTTAGGAACGAGAGGTCCGTGGCAGAAATCAAGTCAGAAGATCCTGGAAGTCAGTTGTGGGACACGAGATGAATGTGATCCTTAGTTTGAGGGGGAGAATGTGAGATAACAAACTAAGTCCACATTGGAGAATTAGACAAGGAGTGTCTAATATATAAAGAGAAGTCCAACTCTAATAGTACGAGGCC